TAAGGCAGTCACCATCATTATCTGCTGTGTACTCCACGCAACAATATACTCCTACCCACTTGCAGAAATTGGAGACATGTAGAGGGTTTCTCTACAAAAAGAATCCACAAACCAACCAAAAACATAGAAACAAGCAACCCTATTCACACACATACCCTTCCAACCCCCTGGCATTTTCCAGTCTGAATAAAGGGGCTTTGTGATACCCTGTCTACATACCTTCCATGCTTTGACCCCACTGGTGTTGGATGTTCAGCAAGTCCTGGGTTTCATCTGGGTGGATGAATTGTAGTTCTGCAGTATGACAGACGAAGGCCTAGGATTTCAGTTCTCCCCTGGCTTGTGGCAGAAGAACATCAGGAAAGGATTCCAAGATGGCTGTAAGGAAAACTTCGTTGGGGACATATTCCTCTCTAGTAGAGCCCCTAAAAGGTGTATGCTGATGAGGCAAAAGATGATCAAAGTTCACTGCACTACATATATTGCCAGATGTGGCCTGCAGAGTGCAGCAGCAAACATGATTTACTGCAGTAGGGCACATAGGGCTAATAAAAAACAATTGTAATGTTGCAATATCATACTAATAATCCACCTGCAGCACAGATTGCTGGACTACATGAGACCTCTCTAGTAAGCCTTTTCTGTGCAAAGCCTGCTAGATATGTTAGGCAGGGGCAAGGTTTCCACAAGCAGATGTTAGCAAAGGGAAACTATGAGGGGCATATGAAAGGATTAATGATAGGAATAAGGACACATCAGTTTGTAACGGCTCTTCTGCTTTCTTTTGCAGCCCAACAGCAAGCATTGCTAGGTGAGTGCTTGCTGGCGTTGGAGAGAGGCTCCTTGTTGCTAAAGGGAAGAGTGTGAGTGGGGAGCTCTGTGTATTGGTGGGGCCAGTCCTTCTCAGGGAGGATAGGATGGAAGCCAGCTGCAAAAAAATGAGGGGACAAGTCACCAAACGCCTGGGTGGGTAATCATGCATGGGTATGAGTGCCACGCGCTGTCTTTGTTAAGCCCCTTTCTCCTACCTTTTGTAGCTCAAGTGAACAAGGATGAGGGTAAGTGGTTTCGAATGCTGGGAACTGGACCTTGTGGACCAGTCTTGAGGAGAGAGGGAATTCATGGTGTCCCATGACACTACACTCCCCACCAGCAGGGAGCTCATGGTTGTGAGCATTAGTGAGCTGGTGGCATGGTGGAGGCTGCCCAGCAAAGGTCTCCGTCTTGATCTGGTGTCTCTCCACTGGGTTTACTGAGGAACAAGAGCATGTGGAAGGGAGGCTGAGAGAGACAGAAGGCAGACCAGAAATGGAGGGAAGGAGGGTGGAAGGGGGCATGGGAGAGACTCTCCAAACACTTACACCTTTCTCTCCATTCCACTTCTCTTTGCCTTTTACAGACCAACTGCTGAAAGAAAATGGTAAGTAGCCTTTCCTTTCTGCTATTGCTTCAATATCTGTGATCTTTTGAGACCTCCTGGGCTTGTTGCTGGGTTCAGGAAAGACTCCCAGCTTCAGACATTTTTTTTCAGGCAATAGCCTTAAAAAAAAAATCGTATCAGTGGAACACTTATAAAACAATCCTAATATGTTCCACGGAACCTGCTGTGAATGGGTGGGCAGCACAACCTGGAAGCAGTCTGAGCATGGCTGCACAGACCCAAGTGCACTCTCGAGTACTTTTCCACTCTGTCTGCCTGAGGATGGCACCTCTTAGCAGATGCTTTTTCTTTGAGGGGCACGGGCAATAGCATCCGCAGAGCAGAACAGAAGGACGACTGGGGCTTTGTTGTTTTCCTGGTGGTACAAACCAAGTAAAGTCTTCCAAACTCCTTCCTCATACATTTCCCTTTGGTGATGTAGTGGGGTACAGAGGATGGGAATGGAGAAGGGTTGGAAGGTCATTCATACACATGGACTCCTTGCACTAGGATATGTCTGTCAGCAGGAGAGATGGGGCTTCAGTCAGAAGAGGTCCCTATGATAGGAGCAGCACTGGCGCTGAAAGAGGTCCCTTCCAACCTTAAGCATTCTATGATCCTGTGAAAGCAGAATCTGGAGGACCTAACGAAAAGGGCCTAACAGACTGTTGTTCCATTAAAGAGGTGAAAGGAGAGATGAACAACAAGAGACAGCATAGCAATTTAAGAGTACCTGTAATGATTCTCCTAGCTCTGGTGAGGTCACCACTACCGCCTATTACTTCACCCCCGCCATATCCAAGGATTCCACCAGCCTCACAGGGCTGGTGGATTCCACCAGCCTCTGGGATGGTTTCATCTGTTGGGCTACCAAAGCTTCCTCTCTGTGATAAACTCAGCAGTCAGCTACCCCTCCTGGTCATTCTGTAGCCACCTCAGCAGCCCTGGTTCCCTTGTCTTCGTGCTCCCTTGCCTGCTCTTTCTCATTACCATAACTTTGGTGAGGAGAGTTCCCTGACAGGAATGGTCATGGCATGGAGAAAGGAGCCATCCTGGCAACAAAAGGAGAGCCTTGAAAATAACCTCTCCCCACTGTCAACATTCTCATTCAATGTCCCAACCATCTCCCACCCCACGCTGTAGTCTTTCCTCCATGTTGCTAAAGTACCTAGTGAGCTCAGGAAAGCATCCAGGCCCTCCAAAGTTGTGCAGGAAAAGGTATTCCTGGTGCCTTCTTGAAGAGGCTGAATACATATCCTATGCTTCCTCACTTTCTAACTCCTTCTTCTCCTTTAGAAAGTTTCACATGAAATATGTTTTCAGCTCCTATGCTTCCCACTTTAGAGTTTTGTTTTGTTTTTAAAACTTGTAATATTTTTCTTGTTTTGATCTTTGCAATTCTCTGAAACAGAGATATTGTGTATCCTTCTAGCCCCCTCAGAACCAGTATCCTTTGAGAATACCTCAGGAATTAATTAGGATATCCAAAAGAAGGGTATTACATCAAGACAACAAGCTTCTAGATGATGCAACTTGTTCTACTTACACAAAATACTCAATAAAATCTTTTTGAAAATGCAGATTGGTCTACACTGTCCATCGTGATTACTGGTCTGGCAATTCTAATCCTGATTTTTCCGGTCTGTTTGTGCATCTATAAATCGAAGCAGAGAGGTAAGATTTTGAAGGGTCCCTCTTGTATGTAGCAAATAGTGATTTATCTCCTCCCTAAATAATGTTTAGACATTTCACCTTATGAGCCTTGATTTCACACTGAGTCCGGTCCTTGAAGGTTGATTAGATGAATTTTGAATCGATGAAGCTCCAATTTCTTGTCAGAGTAGAAACAGCTTGACTCCACATCTGAGCTTCAGAAATAGAAGTATTCTGTGTTTAAAACATACCTCTTGTGAGTCAAAAATAGTAACCCCAAAGATCCTTTTGTAATCGGTTTTCTCCTTTATTTATTTATTTTGTCTTCTCCTTCAAGGTGGCTCCAGGAATGAGAAAGAAGGTAATATTTTCTAAGCAAAGGTTAAAGGTAAGGTATTTGTTAAAAGAAAGGAAAAAGCTTACATGTAAAATCCTTTTTTTTTTTTGCAGGGCGAAGTACAGCTGGAGGTAGGGAGCTTTTAACCACATATACATTTTT